CCCATACTGCACAGAGTTAAGAGTTTTGGATGTTGGGCCAACAGGCGGTGTGGAGGTTAAGGCAACCAGATCCTATGTGGCTGATTGCACAATTCAAATCCTGGACCTAGTGACTTGAAAAACATGCCAGGCATACGTGCATGAGTTCCCCCAATCCCAAAATGGAGGAGAAAGGATTGTGGTGCGGCCATCCCCCCCAACAGAGCCGTGATTTCTCACTTTCTCTCTCACTCTTTCTATCTGTGACAAGCACATATGTCCGATAGCAAACTGTAAAGAAAAAAAAAAAAAGAGAGAGAGTTTTGGATGCCATAAAATTCTGCTAATTCATGTAAACATCCTCATGAAATAATGCAAGCTACAGAAGAAAAATTTTATTCACTCCCCAAATGAGCAATATAGCCACTTTAAAATCCATAAACAAGATTATGATAATAATAAATAAAAATGTTTAAAAATCCATTTGGATTATATTTGGAGTCTCATGTGTAGTGGCCTTGCAGCATAAAGCTACATTTTGTTTCTTAATATGCGCATCAATAAATAGGAGGAAATGATGTTTGAGGTGAAGCCTAAAGTATATGGAGGATCTAGTCAAACAAAAAAGGTTAAATAATAACTCAAGCAGGCAGAAATATGACAGATAACCAACTCTGAATCTATTTCTATGTCGCACAAGCATCTGGAGATGATTCTTACTATACGGTATGGTTTACTCATCTGTTCTGTCATTGGATCCCCAGCTTTCTAATGGCAGCATCCTTGGTAAGTGCCCAATAAATATTTGTCAGTGAGTGACTGACTTTTTAAGTAAGTAAATGAACGAATAGTGAGAAAAACCTGGGTAAAAGTCACAGCTACAGAACAGAGAGCCTTGCAGAAATAAAGACAGAAGTTGAGAAGAATGCTGTGCAGAGAAACAGAAAGAGATAAAGCCAGCAGAGGAAGAAACAGTAGGGGAAGAGCAGGAGAGACACAGAAGGGACTAAGGTCTCTGAGGTAAGTGGTAGGTAGCGGTTTGGCTGCTTGGAAGTTGCATCATAGGGACCTGTTATTTCCTTTAAAATACATATTGAGACCAGCAGATGGCATAATGGTTACGTTGCTGGACTCTCCTGTAGTTGACCGTGGTTTGAGTCCTGGACCCGGCGGCTTGAAACTCACACCAGGCATGTGTGTGTGCGTGCCCAAAATCCCAAGAGGAGAATAGAGAAGAAAGGACTGTGGCATGGACATCCCCCATGGGCAGTGATTTCTTGCTTTGTGTCTTTCTGTCTCTGGCAGGTGCATAACACCCTCTAGCAAAAAAATCTCTCTTAAAAAAATACATATTAATCTTCTATCAACACAGGTTTTTCTGCACTATTAAACTACTTGCCTGCTTTTCTTTTCAAACATAAATGTTTGTTTATTTATTCATTTATTTATTTGGAGAAATTTTTGCTAGAAGGCATGTGCACTTATAAGAGAGAAAGAGAGAGATGGAAAAGAGAAAGTGAAAAATCACTCCCCGGAGGTGGGGGTGGGGGTGGGGAGATGGCCATGCTGCAATCCCTTCTTCTTCATCCTTCTCTTGGGATATTGGTATACATGCACATGTGCCTGGCATGAGTTTCAAGTCTCTGGGTCTGGGACTTGAACTGCAGTTGACCACATGGGAGTCCAGTGTTCTAACCACTACACCATCTGCTGGTCCCCATAAAAGTTTATTTTTGAAGGTTTATTTTCCCAGAGAATTTTGAAGTTTTATATGGGCATAAAGTAATGACTTAGATTTTAGTATTTCTTTTGGACTATCAGAGGTATTTACCAGTTCTTACTGAAAGATCCTTTTGCATTTCAGAATCTGTCAGCTTGTCTTAGCCATTCTTTTTTGAAACATGAAGACCTGCCTCAAATATTTTTGAGGGAAAATTGCCCTTAAAACTGGCAGTTATTTTTTTTTTATTATTCTAAGCCATTTGATTTCAATAAAAACCAGTTTGGAGGTATCTGAAGTCCTAATAGGAGTGATGAATATAGGAACAATAAAAATCACAATTCATTCTCTTTCTCGATCTTAAAGATGAAGCTCTGGCTGAATACAAGGGTACCTCAGCAAGGGCTGTCAAAGCATTTGACTCTAGCTAAAGGTAGTAGGCCAAGATACACTCCTAGACTCATTTCTCAAAGGTTTGGTCCAAGGCATTAGAATGACCTGGGATGCTTGTTATAAAATGCATCTTCTAGGCTTCTGCCTAGACCTGGAATTGGAAACCTTCCAGATGATTTCTATGTCCAGGGGAGAGGCTCACTACCTTAAGGCCTTAGAACATCCAATCTGGCCTGAGGCTATCCTTACGATTGAGTCATTGAAAAAGTCATGACACATTTTTACATAGAAAAACAGAAAAATATGTCATGACTTTCCCGACTACCTAGTAATTTCCTTTTTATTGTAAGTTGACAGTTTGTAGTTATGTGTATATGTGGATGTATAATGATAGAAAGCACACGCATGCACACGAAAGCATGAGAACACACTTACTAGGTTGTCATCTTGCCATAATCCACTTTCCCCAGACCTCTAGCTCCTTCAGGATCCTGGGTGCCTGCACATGTGCCTGGCATACTACCTAACCAACCCAGGGGTCTAAACCCATAGCTGGCCATATGGCTTCTAACCTTACAAGGTATTCACATTACCACTGTGCCACAGCAACTGGACTAATAATTGTATGTATTTATAGGGTACAAAGTGATGTTTTGATTTATAAATACAATATTGAACAATTAAATCAAGCTATTTGATTCATCACCTCAAGTAATTTGTGTGTGTGGTGAGAACATTTGAAATTTACTCTAAGCAACATTTTAAAGTTTATTTATTTTTATTTATGAAAGAAAGTGCATATGAGTGCATGAGTGAGAGAGAGAAACAGGCACCTTCAACAGGGTCTTGTCATGCCACAATCCCTTTGCCCAGTCTTCTAGGATCTTGGGCATATTTTCTATTTCTACATCCTTCAGAGTATCCAAGATGAAGGAGAATGTTAAACATTTTCCTGGCGTGTTTTCAGACTGACTTGGGTTCTGAACTTGCAGCTGGCCATGTGGCTTCTAGTACTACAGATCAGTACACTACTGCCTATACCACTGAGGCGGGGCTCTCAGCAATTTTGAAATGTATAACACATTATTAATTATATTCACCATGCTATGCAATAGATCTCAAAAAAAAGAAGAAGAAAAAAAAAAAAGAAAAAGAAATGAATTCTTCCTTGTGAGATGAGATTTTATGCCTTTGACCCTCATCTCCTCATTTCTGCCACTGCAGGCTCTGTAACCATGTCTCTACCCTCTGATTCTATGAGTTCAATTGCTTTAGATTCCACATATACATGAGAACAAGACAATGCAATATTTGTCTTTCTGTGCCTGGCTCAATGTTTTCCAGTTCCATCCATGTCACAGGTAACAGAATTTCCTGCGTTTTTAAGGCTATATAGTATTTCTTTTTTTTTCGAAGAGGTTTTTGCTATAGGGCGCATGCGCTCACCAGATAGACAGAGAAAGACAGAGAGACAGAAAGCGAGAAATCACCCCCCAGGGGAGATGGCCACACTGCAATCCCTTCTCCTCCATTCTCCTCTCGGGATCTTGGGCACGCACGCATACGCGCCCGGCGTGAGTTTTATTTTAAGCCCTCCGGGACACAAATCATGGTCGACTACATGGGAGTCCAGCGACATAGCCATTACGCTAACTGCTGGTCCTAAGGCTATATTATATTTCATTGTGTATATATCCTATTTTCTTTATCCTCTCATCTGTTGATGGACATCGAACTTGGCTATGTGAATGCACGTGGGAGTGCAGACATCTCTTCAAAATCTGATCTTTTATCTTTTGGGTAAATAACCACATGTGAGATTGTTGGATCATAAAGTAATTCTATTTTTAGTTTTTTGAGAACCATCCATATAGTTTTTTCAATTATGGCTATACTAATTTATATTCCCACCAATTCTTTGTAAAGGTTTATTTTATTTTACTTTACTAGAGAGCAATAAGAGACATACCATGAAAAGGACCTTGCATGCTGTAGTCCTCCCCCAGCCTTCCAGCCAGCCAGGAACATGCCTAGCATGTTGACCTAGAATCAAACCCAAGGTCTTCCCATATGGCTCCTGTATTGGCCTACCTGTGCCACTACAGCTGGACCAACGCTTCTTAGGTATAGTATTCAGTTAGAAAAATAAGGCCTATCTCTATAAAAAGTCAAATAACACTTGTAGTAGAAAACAGTCTATGATTAACAACAAATTCATCAAATGCTGGGGGAAGGAGGGCTCACTACAGGCTTGAATTAAGAAATATTTCATGTCAGAGCCAATAGATGGTGACAGTGGTTCCCGTCCCAGACCTGCTGGCTTGAAACTCACACTGGGTACATGTGCATGCGTGCCCAAGATCCCGGGAGGAAAATGGGGAAGGGATTGTCCTGTAGCCATCCCCCAGGGTGGGGGCAATTTCTCATTTTTCCTCTCACTATCTGTCTCTCTTGCTCTCTGGCAAGTGCACATGGTATAAAGCTAAAACTTCTTTAAAAAAAGGGGGTGGGGGATGTTTCATGGATAGGTCCATCAGGTAGCAATAGTGGTTAAGGCACTGGACTCCCACATGGTTGACCATGGTTTGAGTCCTGGACCTGGTGGCTTGAAAATCACTCCAGGTGCATGTGTCTGCATGCCCAAACTCCCAGGAGAATAGAGTAGAAGGAACTGTGGCATGGCCATTCCCTGGGGGGTGATTTCTCACTTCCCTCTCACTGTCTCTCTCTGGTGAGCACATGTGCACCCTATGGCAAAAACCTTTAAAAAAGAAAAGAAAAAAGAACTATTTCTTGGAGAAACAACAGGTACAAAGTTTAAATGAGGTTCTGAACTCTATAATCTGTCACGTGTACAATCTGAACCAAACCTAAGTCTTAACATATTTTTGATTTCTACATCCTTCAGAGTATCCAAGATGAAGGAGCATATTAAGGAGAAAAGAGAACAAAGAGAATGCTTAAACAAAGTCAAAGTCAAGGTGGCCAACACGAGGAAGCAAGCTCTGCAGGAACAGTTTGATGAATGGATTCTAGACCCCAAAGGAATGATCCCTCTGGTGGTGGTAAGAAAGGGGCCATGTGGACCTGGTGACTTGCTTTCTCACTTTCCCTCTCTCTGTTTCTCTCTCTGGTGAGCACACAAGCCCTATATCAAATTTTAAAATAATAGTAATAAATAAAATTAAATAAGTATTCTTAAAAAAAAAAAAGAAAAGAAAAGGGCTATATATGAAGGGTAGGTGAGGTAGGGGATAATATTAGAATTGAAGGGTAGGTGAGGTAGGTGATAATATTAGAATACTGAGGAGAATGCTAGAAGCCTCTCTTGAAATTTTCAGTACCGTTGGGGTAAGTTGATTCTTCACTTTTCAGGTGAGAGTTAATTGCCTCAATTTGCTCTTGAGCATTATAAAATGAAATCTAAAGAGATTTAGAATTCTAAATCTCAATTCTAGCTGAAGTCCCCTCAAATTCATCTTTACAATTAGATTTCATTTGTTTATTTGTTGTGAGTTTGTGTGTGTGTGTTTGTGAGTACTTTTGTGAGACTCAAGAGACCACTGTCTTTTGTCTCTAGATGACGACTATACTCTAAGAATTAAATATTGTTTCAGCTGTGTATAGATTTGAAAATACTAATTGATTAGATACAGTGCCAAGGATATCTTTGGTTTAAAGTGAGTGAGTGAATATGAATCAAAGAAGACAAGCCGTATCATGAGAACTCATTCACTGTCAATGGGAATGCAAGATGGCACAGCCACTTTATTGATTTATTTTTTAAAGAATTCTTTCTTGGGACCAGCAGTTAGCGTAATGGCTATGTCGCTGGACTCCCACGTAGTCGACCGCTGTTCGCGTCCTGGACCCGGTGGCTTAAAACTCATGCCAGGCGCGTGTGCGTGCGTGCCCAAGATCCTGAGAGGAGAATGGAGGAGAAGAGATTGCGGCGTGGCCATACCCCCTGGGGGGTGATTTCTTGCTTTCTGTCTCTCTGTGTCTCTCTGTCTGTCTGGCGAGCAAACGCGCCCTATAGCGAAAACCTCTCCAAAGGAAAAAATAAAAGAATTCTTTCTTTCTTTTTTTTTTTTTGGAGAAGTTTTTGCTATAGGGCACCTGTGCTCGCCAGACAGAGAGATAGACAGCGAGAAATCACCCCCCGGGGAGATGGCTACGTCCCAATCCCTTTTCCTCCATTCTCCTCTCGGGATCTTGGGCACGCACGCACACGTGCCTGGCATGAGTGTTTTTTTTTTTTTTTTGGGGGGGT